TACTGATGTTAAATAAAATTATATTTAATCACAACAATTTTTATATTAATAAATAAAAATCACTACATTTTTCTATTATATCATATTTTTCTTATGAATTTTCGTACGCCGAGAAATATTATTATTTTAAACATTAAATAGTAACTCGTCCAAAATCCTAATACCCTTAAGTTAGTATATAAACTTTTTTAGTTGACCAACAAATGAAACTGGATCTACTTCCATTTTAGAGGAATGTAAAAAATCACCTGGAAGTTTAAGTATGGTGCCTTTGATGATTTCTACAGGTGAAACACCTAAATATTCTTTATTAATACCTTCTATAAAGCTTAAAAGTATTGAAGATATACTTCTACTTAATATTTTGTAACGTGTGTCTCGATAGCAGTTTTTAACGGTCAATGTAGTCGTTCAACCAACCCATTTGCAACATGATGGAAAGTTGTTATGCCAATACTTTTATAATATTCTTCTCTGGAATATTAAAAAAATCAATACCTCTTTTTTTTCTCAGACCATAAAAAAAAATACGCTAACACTGATACGCATATAATTCTAACCTTGACCACTATAAAGTAGCCATGAGTCATTGTCTTTCTCAGCGTTTTCGAGGCACCACAAAAGTATTAAATAAGGGAAGTTAATAAAAAGTAACTGTCTTGCATTGATTGGAGAACAGATTGGTGACTCAATATGTCTATGAAAATGCATGACACAATCGAGACATCCAATCCCCATTTATGCCTTTCATGGTAAATTATATAAGGACTGAAGACCCTGTTTTTCCTCTCACTCGCTTGTCACTCAATAATATCTTTTAACGAGCAACTCTTTAAGATTATTCCCTATATCTCTAGCATATTCTTTATATTGTGTTTCTATAATCTTCATTTTTCTCACTAAGTTTAAAACGTAAATTTGTTAAGATAACTAAATCTTTGCTTAAAATATATACGCTTATATAATTCCAGTAGAATTATCTTTTATTAACTTACCTTCTATAATTTTGAATAATACTTATAGTAATACAAAAAATAAGGTCTATAGGCGTATACTAGGTGATATCGGGGTGTATTGACCAAGATTGGATATTTGGGTATTTAGACAATTCGTGAGGAATGAGGTTCTATCGGAGTTGTAGAGTCCGAGAGTTTAGAATAGTAACTGTCGAACTATTCGATAGTTTATGCTAAAATAAACTATTCGGTTGTATAAACACAATTCGAATAGTTTAAAATATTCGAAAATGATCATCACTAGTTTAGAATAAAAAAGACAAGTAGATATAATAAGAAATTAATGAAGTTCCTCTCATTAAGGTATTAAACGCTGAGGTATTCTTGTAGTGGCCGGAGTCTTGACTTCCTATCTGACACCCAGTCGAAGTATATGACCAAGCACTCGCTAGTTATTAATAATTAAAATGATGTTTAAATCAATTTATTGCTTTACCATTTTTTACTCAGATTATTAATTCCTAATAATTGGGTTAATATGAATTTACTTACCTCTTTTATATCGTTTGTACAAAGATCGACAAGACTTGCGTAAAGATTTATACTGTTTCTTTTAAATAAATAAATAAAATGTTGACACAAAATAATTGTATTCAATATCGTTTTAAAATGTACCGACAACAACACGGGATCGCGGCTTCTTTGATAAAAATGAATTAAACAAAAGAATTCTGAATTCTTTATTGGATTCAGAGTTTCAAAAGAAAGAAAGTAAAATGGAAGTGATCTCTCTTGGAAAATCAGCGCCTTTTTATATTATTTTAAATTATCTCCATCATGGGTTGTTGCCGTCAGCGCTTTTAGTGATTTTCAGTTTATTGTATAAAATTTTGAGCATAACATAATAATTATTTTTAAGACAAGATGCATAGTATACAATAATCAATTTAACATGTATATATGTATACACAATAGCTAGTGTACAACAGTGTATATATGATGACAGATGAATTAATTATTTGCTTGTATACTAGTAATATAAAATACAGATTATACATTTTTCATTGATAAATGTAACATGCGCAATGCAAAGCATTAGGCATATTACGACACACTTAACAATTACAAGTCAACAATCGAGAATCTAACAACATCAGTGAATATCAGATAAGTGTAGTTTTAATACACTAACTATACTAATCAAGTAATAACTAGAAACAAAATACATGTATTTATTATGTCTTTACGGATGATACCATTATCATACTTCTTTATTAATACCATTCCAAACAACTTTATTATTATTTATTACAATTTTTACACCTTATAATAAAGATTAAATGTTAAATATTAGAAATTCGAATTGCCTGTCTCGGTCAGTCGTAAAATTGAGGTTTCAACTTTGAATGTTCAATTTTTATTGGAAAAGTGTTATGCCAAAAAGACAAACAATCGATTATGATTGAACAATATGTACAACCTTTTGACATTACAAACTGGAGTATGAGATGGTGGTATGAATGGTGTCATATTCCTCATACCACACTTTCGAAAAGCCTTGGTAAGATATTTAAGATATCTTGTTAGGGACAGAATCTGTAGCATTAAATTTTACATAAATATTTAAGGGAGTGGTTCCTAAATTTTCATTTAAATAATTTTTATATAAATAAAATATTTGTGTTATTTTATGTTTTTTTTAAAGTAACATTGATTAGATACATTGTTTTTATTAAAATATACTTTCATTAATGTAATAAATATTACATTTGTTAAATATAATTAAACTATAAATTATTGATATTATAATATACTTAGTAGTGCAATAAAATCCTTTAAAATTTCCTTCATGTTTCACTATATTCTTCATACTATTAAATATCATTTTCAATTATTATTTTTGTATGTTCAAATAATACAACATTACATTTTTCATACGTCTTAAATATGACGGATTTAATGATTTATTTATGTGAGGTTCTAAAAAAATTAAATATAGTCATTAATTTGAAAATTATTCAAGAGAACTATCAAATAATTAGTCGGAATTAACGTAAAGGAGAGAAATTCAATTTCGGACATTTTTAGTATAAATGATAATTTTATAGGAAATATCGTAATAAAACAAAGCACAGTGGGATAAAGTATAACTGAAACAAGTATAGAAGATATCTAATAGTAATTAAATTAATGATCACTATCATAGAAAAGGTTTCAGTTCAAATGTGTGGATAATGTTTAATTTTTAGAAGGAAATGTTGGATTTTTCAAAAAACTAATTAATTAACTCCTAATTCCTTAATTATATGCTGATTACATTTTTTATGATTTATAAGTATAATACAAAAATAAATACTCATTACAGCAATTAAATTCAGTATGAAATTGATGTTCAATAATTTTTTATTGTAATTATCACGGTGAAATTATAAAATGTATAAAATAATTTCATATTTCGTTATTTCTGTGGCAAACGTGTATTAAAATAATTTTAACCAACCAAACCAAACCAAACTTACAATTGTAAGTATGAATTTATCAAAAAAACTTCTCAGATAAACATCAAATAATAAAACTAAAAATATTATTTTGCTCCTTTACAATAAAAAAGGTTGGTTTATCTATAGGAGTTTAAGTTAAAGATCTTAGCATTGTAATGTATTTATGGGGTATGAAGCGTAAGTGAAGTATACATTAAAAACATATAAACGCTAATAATTTCTTTCTGTATTATAATAGGCCAGTCAATGAAGGAGAAATTTTGGCGAATAGCGGAAAAAATTACCAAACAATTTTTTTTTTTTAAAGTTGAATTAAGATATGTATAATGATATACTAAAAGTCCTCATCGATTAGACTTGAGCTTTTTTTACAGCCTCGCAAAAGTTAAAAAATATGAGCTTTTTTAATTTTCTCGAAAAATATTTAACTTACAAAAAAAAGTTTCATACAAAAGTTGATTAAAAGACAATTTAAACAAAAAAGTTTTCTTATATTTTTTCATTTAAACAAATATTTTTCGAGTTAAATTACATTTAATATGAGTACTAAAATTTATATTCCAATTTTTTTCATTTTGCGGTTACTTTTTATCATGTTATACTTACATTAGACACAATGTTATAAATGTATATGTGTGTATGTGTGAGTTTATTTATTTATAGTATCATTAAAGTGTAGTATATATTAAGATACAACCGATAGAGTAGGTAATTGATTTGACGCTATATTGTTTAAACCCAACTAAACGCTAAATTGTACATTTCCAAACAACAATTATATTATGTCAATTGCCACCGGAATTTCTGTTAATCTTTTTCTTTTTCTTTGCCTTAATCCCAACTACTTGGGGTCGGACACCCTCATCCTAAACTTCCACTTGACACGATCTCCCACATCAGCTGTCCTCATATCGCATTCAATAACATCCCTCAATCTCTTTTTTGGTCTTCCTCTACCTCTTCTTTCTTCAACATTCATTTCTATAACTGTTCTTACAGCTTCCGCTTCGTCTCTCCTCATAACATGACTAAATCATCCAAGTCTATTTTCTCTCATCTTATCCACGATTAACGCTACACTTATACTCCCTCTTATATGCTCGTTCCTTATTCTATCTTTTCTAGTCACTCCACTCATCCAACTAAGCATTTTCATCTCTGCTACACTCATTCTTTGCTCTACTTTCTTATTAACCACCCAATACTCTGAACCATACATCATAGCTGGTCTCACTACATTGTTGTAGAATTTATCTTTTAGCCTCATTGGAATTCTTTTATCGCATAGGACACCAGATGCTTCTCTCTACTTCAACTACCCGCACTTAATCCTGTGTCTTACATTCTCGTCAATACCATCGCTCTTTTGCACTACTGATCCTAAATACTTAAAACTTTCTACCTCCCCATTCACACTCTCGCCTATTGTCACTGATCTCTGACACGGCCCGCGTCGCTTCGTTATACACGATGCCCCGCGACTCGTGCCACCTTTATCAGCCGTCGCCCTACTATGAGTATTTGACTGACCAACACCGCGTGTTATACGCTACGGTGCAAAGTCCAGCAAATGCCGCACGGCCGACGACGACCCGCCGCAAATGGTGCCAGAGTCTTCCTCCTGTTGTGAAAGCGACAACGCCGACCAACCGAACCTCACCCGCGCACCGTCGCCTACAACGCTGCTAACCATTTTGCCGTTCAAGGTTTACGCCGGACATCGCGTCGTCGACGCCAGCGAAAGTGCCGCGATATTATGCGAAGATTTTTATTATTGTGTTTGTCATTTCGGTTTGTTTTATTTTTGTTAAAATAATCTGTTGTCGCTCATTTAATAAACGGCCCACGGGTCTCTACCCTCAAACCAGTGTCGACCACATTTTTGCGACGTAAGTCGTGTCATCTCCTCATTTCACCTACCTCATGTTCTCTTTGGTCAAGCCAGCTAGAATTTCTGGTAATGATAAAATTGTCATAAAATGTCTAAAATTGGTCTTGTTCTAGTAAACTCAATGGTGGATAATAACATTCATGATATAAATCTTAATAGGTCAAATAAAGTTATAACTGTATCTTCAATAATTTCTATAGTTAAAATTAATAATGAAATGATTAAAGTAAACCCATTACTACTATTTCAACTAAACGCTATTTAAAAAAAAAACCAGCAGTGTCTCGGCACATTGTGTATAATTGGGTGCAGTATAGATGATATGTGACAGTGATTAAAATCATTACCAAAAAACAACGCCTAGATGCAAATCTGTAGATAGTGTTTAATTTTAAAATATTAATGGATTATTACAAAAGCTACATGATCTCCTATTTCCTTATTTATATCCTAAATACAAGTTATATGCATTACTAGTGCAAAGTATGTAATCGATAGAGGATTTCTTCACTATAAAGTTATTTGACAAATGTAACAAACAAAATTTTTTTCCATTTTCTTAATCATTTTCCCATTCTAAATTTTGATAGAATATATCTTCAACAAAAGTACAATTTTTTTAATCTTCAATCTTTATTTCTATTGAATTTGTACGCCATTGACATTTGCAATTTTCACATATAATAAAACATTTAAGCCCTGTTTTTCGGCAGCTACAATTTTTATCAGGTCCAGCACCTGACTAAACGCCGTTTTATGACAATTATCTTTATTATTAGCAGAAATTCCGGTGGCAATTGACATAATATAATTGTTGTTTGGAAATGTACAATTTAGCGTTTAGTTGGGTTTAAACAATATAGCGTCAAATCAATTACCTACTCTATCGGTTGTATCTTAATATATACTACACTTTAATGATACTATAAATAAATAAACTCACACATACACACATATACATTTATAACATTGTGTCTAATGTAAGTATAACATGATAAAAAGTAACCGCAAAATGAAAAAAATTGGAAAATAAATTTTAGTACTCATATTAAATGTAATTTAACTCGAAAAATATTTGTTTAAATGAAAAAATATAAGAAAACTTTTTTGTTTAAATTGTCTTTTAATCAACTTTTATATGAAACTTTTTTTTGTAAGTTAAATATTTTTCGAGAAAATTAAAAAAGCTCATATTTTTTAACTTTTGCGAGGCTGTAAAAAAAGCTCAAGTCTAATCGATGAGGACTTTTAGTATATCATTATACATATCTTAATTCAACTTTAAAAAAAAAAAATTGGTTGGGAATTTTTTCCGCCATTTTTCCTTCCTTGACTGGCCTATAATGAATGATTCATTACAATATTAATATTGTCTTGATTTATTTTATAATATAATAATATAAATTTTATATTAACTACAAACCATCGGTATAGAATTGTAGAACTTTTTTGCTGCATATTGGACACTTGGGTTGATAGTTTTTTTTATTACTTATAATATTAGCACATGCTATTCCTATTTTGTGATGGCAAGGTTGCAAGACTACTCTTTGGAGTTCTTGTTTGCATGCACATCTTTCTATTAACTCTAAATATTATATATAAGGTTAAATTAAAATAAAACAAACAATTGTTAAATTAAGTAACTCCAAATACATTAACATTCATTTAATTATTTTCTAGATTAAATATCTTCAGTGATGTAAAATTTTAGATCGTTAAAAAGATCTATAAAATTATTGAAAATTATTATAGTGACTATTTTGTGTACTCCACTGGAAGAAATAATATGGACTCTTTATTATTTTTAAACGGTCAAATAAATTAGTTTCATTGCATTTTGTTTCTTTTTTTTGAAAAATATTGTTCAGCTTTTGATATATTTTAATGAAATTAGACTACCTTTGTTCATTATAATTAAATTGATATTCAACTATATCTTTAATTGTAATGATAAATAAAAAAATATTAAATAATTACTTANACTATATCTTTAACTGTAATGATAAATAAAAAAATATTAAATAATTACTTATATTTTTAAAAAGTACTATTTGTTCTCTACATAATGGACAATTAGTAATATTTTGTACTGTTAGCTCATTGGCACAATCATTGCACATTTTATGACAGCAAGGATTTAATGTTACCGGCAATGGTTTTTCTAAGAGACAGCTACAGCATAATTTTTCATTGTCTAATGTATAAGAATTATATTTTAAGTAATAATAATAATCAAATGGCTTATGTTACTCAAGTTTTAAATTACAGATAAGTGCTAGTTCACCAATGAACTTTGTTTAAAAAAAAAATGTGTAAATAAACATAAACGGTCATTTAATCCATTAATTAATTTTTTTAATGAAAAAATATTGAATAATTACTTATATTTTCAAAATATACTATTTTTTCTTTACATAATGGACAATCATTAGTATTCTGTAGTGTTTGCTCATCAGTACAGTCTTTACACATTTCATGACAGCAAGGATTTAATGTTACTGTCAATGGTTTTACTAAGAGACAGCTACAGCATAATTTTTCATCGTCTAATGTATAAGAATTATATTTTAATTAATAATAATAATAATCATATGGCTAATTTTACTCAATTGTTAAATTACAGATAAGTACTAGTTCACCAATAAAGATTGTTTTAATAAAATCTTCAAGGTAACTTAAACAGGCTGACATTAATTAAATAAATTTAATTGTACAAAAATATAGTTTTTATATTTTAGCTTTTAAAATATATACACTAAAAGTATAATTTTGATAGGGTTCATCAACGAAATATTTTTGGATATTGATATAGAAAAAAAAATTTATTCAAAAATTAAATTTAATATTTAAATGTTTTAACCATTTTTTTTATTATTTTCAAGGATACCGTTAAGATATTATTGTTGTAAAAATCAGACTATTATATACCAACCAAATTAGATACTAATATCATAAAAATATAGATAATATTATATCTCATAACGATAATAAAATATTTTTAAATTACATTTTATTATGAAGAAATAAGTTATTTTTGTTACAAGACTGTATTATTATAAATTGATTATATTAAATGGATGAATTTGTGTTTTTTTTTTAATAATAATATTTAATTTCAGTTTTTTAGTCTTAAAAATAGGAATAATAACAATGTCATAATAAAAAAACCTAATCTAAGAATAGAATATTGTATCAATAAATTTCAGTTTTAATCCTATCTCAATTCTATATTTCATAATATATTTTAATATCAAAAATGTTTACAGGATCATCATAAATTGTTTTTGGTCCAATATCAAAATTTTGATATTGGACCAAAAAATATGTTATCTAATAACAAATATTTTATAAAAATTTAAATAGATTTTATTATAAATAATTTTTTTCAATTATCACGATATTTCAAAAATAATTGATATCATAAGAAAAATGCAAAAGTCGGCAATTTTTAATTGAAATAGATGTCATTGACGAACCCTATTATATAATATACTTTAATATTAAAATGTATAAAGAATAACGTATAGGAAGCTTTTATGGAATTTCTTGATTTCTATGGATCAGCAACTCACAAAATATGAGTGCTGATATTGTTTTCGTTGATCTCTTTCAAATTAGCTAATTATTTGTAATGCTATTTTTATATGTAGTGAGCGGTTACTATTAAAATAATTGCATACAGGGTGTACATCATAAACTATTCGATTACTCACAAAATAAATACAATATTGGAAATATAATTTTTGATTTATCAGCTAATAATTATTTTTTATAATTATCATTTATAACTTAAATGGGTTTCAACTTAATTTTTAGCTTCGATGCGAAGCTGAGAAGGTATTGGTTTTACAGCACGGTAGGGACATGGCATAGTTGGGCCCAGTATAGATTTAATCTGACAATGATTAAAATCACTATCATAAAAAACGCTTCAATGCAAATCTGTATATGGTTTTTAATTAAAAAAAAATCTGAAATTGTAAATTTTAACATCAAAAGTGCATGTTTTCATACGGCAACCATTTGCACATAAAAGATAAATCTTTAGGGTAATTTTTTTTTTTAACTTATAGTATTTATCATAAGCTTTAATTTGAAATACATTTAAAGCTCGGAGTAATTCTGAAACATTTTCAAAAGTGAAGTTGAAAAAGTTCTACTTTTTACTCGTATTTTAAAAAATTTAAACCCTCCTACCTTGTAAAGAGAAATGGTCTGATTTACAAAAAAAAGTATGTTGAATGAAAGATATACAGGGTGATTTTTTTATCATAACCCACTCAATTACTTGCAGAATAATAATAATTTAAACATTTTTTTTTTTTATTATCTTTAGTTACACATTATTCTTGAATTTTTAACTATATAATACTTTTTAAGTTCATCCTTTATGCCTTGTAAGGGGGTCAACTTTGTTTTTTTAAATGGTAACACATATTATTAATTTAATAAAATGTTTGAGTTTTTAATTTAATAGTAAATGACATTTGAATTTTTAATATAACTTAATTCGTTTATTAGATATAAACATTTAAAGTTTCAAATTTTTGAAATAATATACATGTATAATACATATGGGATTGTAAATACAGGTAGTTAATTGTATTTTTATGACATTGCTGTCTCAGTCACGGATTGTTTANTATGGGATTGTAAATACAGGTAGTTAATTGTATTTTTATGACATTGCTGTCTCAGTCACGGATTGTTTATTATCAATTGATATACTTTCTGTATTGTCAGTTAGTGTATTTATAAACTCATAACAATGTGCCTTACTATCATTGATAATAACAATGCTGTGTACCTGCTAATATCGATGTCATAAAAAATCAATTAGCTACCTGTATTTACAATCCCATGTGTATTATACATGTATATTATTTCAAAAAATGTTTAAATTATTATTATTCTGCAAGTAATTGAGTGGGTTATGATAAAAAAATCACCCTGTATATTCAATTTATTAAGAAAAAATTTTTTTATTGATCCATACATTTTTCAATAAGTTATTGTAATTGAAATTTTCAATATAAAAAAGAATTATATTGATCGTATTTTTGGGGGGATTTTCCTTATTTACAGGGAACGAGGGCAAAATTTTTAATTTTTAAGGATGAATGTCTTCAACTAGATACGATTTGAGAGTTGAGTGAGAGCTGAGAAAAAGTATTGATCGACAAAAAAAAACACATCATGGTAAAATTAATATCTTTTTAGCTTCTCATCAAAGCTAAAAATTAAAAATTCAAATATTTACCATTTTCCGAAGAATGATCATGACTTTGTTCACAATTTTTTACTGGACACTTAGTAAAATCTATGTTTTTATCTATGCAATTTTGTCCAACATAATGGTGACAATACTTCATGATTTTTATCGCAATTTCGGTGTCACAGTTTTGGCAAAAATTTTTTATTATATCTGAAATCAATTACATTATTGTTTTAATAATACAAATATTATTTAAATAATTTTGTTATGAATTCAATTGCTACCCTACCAAAAATATATCTTTGTATTCATTTGAATTAAACTGAAATAGTTTTGACACACAAATACATTACTTTATTTTGCTCAAGTCATAAAGTTCAATTTATAATATTAGTTTTAATGAAATCAATTTACAAAAAAGAACATTGGTACTTATCATAATTTACTTTCATGAAATTACCTTGAAAGGTATAATTTGTGGAAAAATTGTTTATATTGTAATTTGGACACGCTATTTTTTCTTACAATAAGTATATAAACTTTTTGCTCTTTTATAAACTCGTTTAACATAATAAGTATACATATAGAATTAACAAACAGAAGTTTTTAACTCTGTCGTTTATTTCATTAATAAGCGACATATTTTCAATTAGTATTTTTTTACTGTAATTTACC